ATCAAATTTTCCCTTCATTTTGTCTAACAAATTAAAACAATTGCACATGAAAGAAATCATCTCCCATGAGAAACATCACATTGTCTGAGGGAGGKCAAYAAACACAAGGCAAAGACACTGTCTCACTGAGCTAATAAATTTCTGGCAAAAGATTCACAGGGTCTGGGAACAAGACTRTGTCCTTATTGTGAACATGTCAAAACCTTCAACCTTACCACTGAGAATGCGCATGATGGCTTCTTCTTGACCAGTGCGGAACGTAGAGAACCCCAGCTGACCCAAGGCTGCATACACTTTTTTGGGTGTTTCTGGTGATGTTAAAAATGCACTTCAATCACTTTTTGTGAATATAATTGAACACAAAACACACATATGGTTATAAAAACACAGTCTTCATAGTTTTGGAGAATATMGTGAAAATGATATACCCTATAATCCCCGAACTCATAATACCATAGGTCTCACCTATTATTTCCCCATCAACTGTCTCAAACAATGGTTCAATAGCATCGGGGGGAGGGGGAGGTACATAAGCAGGGCGTGGCAGTTGGTGGGGTAGCACTACAAGACTGCTGCCATCTGCATCTTCATCAACAGCAATCCCAGCAGCCATCTGTGCAGCTTTCTCAAGGGTAAGTTCATGGATGAARTCATCRTCTTCAGGAGCAAATTCCTCTCTCKCATCATCATCATCTTCAGGACTAAAGAAGAGAAGAATGATGTTACATGTCTGAAAACTTCTTTGGTATACCTTTCCACACTAAGGGAAATGGGTCAAAACTATCACAAATGATGACAAAGAAGGAAAAAAAATAATGTATAAAGAATTTAAAAGATGGAGTCGAAGAGGATTTTACAATGCCTGAGTGCACTGGKTTTAAATCAATCGCACACAAGCTAAGAAGAGGCAGAAGAAGGACAAGAAGAAGAAGAAGACAACAAGAAAATATAAGTAAAAGAGGAGCAAAAATTTTGGTGGGACACACACAATAGCCAAATCAATAACTGAGCACTTTATAAAGATATAGAATGATATACAGTACTAGTATATGCATGTATACTGAGAGAGCAAGYGCCATTTACTGCAAGAAATTCAAGAAAATAGAACATGACAACTTACATTTCTCTGGCAGCCGTTGACATTTTCCCTTTACAATTCTTGGCCCAGTGYCCTTCCTGTCCACACTTAAAACAAGTCCCTGTCGCTCCTTTTGAGCTACCAAATGACCCCCTACCCCTGCCACGCCCACCAGCACCTCGTCGTGACCAGCTTGATTTACTGACATATTCACCACGTGCTTTCATAATATTATTGAATGCTCTGCGTTTATAGGCTGATCCTGTCATTCCATGACCACGGCGACGATAAGCCTTATGCTTCATGTCCAGTCTTACAAAATTGTCACTRACAAGACTGGATGAGGAGGACCTGGAAAGGAGTACATCATACATGTGAGTCCATACATACATGTACTTAATAGATGTTTGTGAAGCAGCCTTTTGAGCTGYTTAAGATTTCACCTTCAATTGAAAAATGGATTTACCCCATTCAATAAAGCGCCAATGATTCGCCTCACCATTAGTTTACAAATWCAATATACTGAATTTATGAATCACAATTATACCTTGATTTAGAAGAACTATTTTTGACTTTAACCTCTTCAAATGTGTCATCTGGACCTTCATCTGAAATACTGCCATCTTCATTTTCMMTATCATCTTCCACCTTTGCTAGTCTTACTTTCTTTGTATCAGGTACCTCCACATCCTCATTTGCTTTCCTTTTTCTTTGGTTTTCCTCTTTTTGTATTTTTTCATGTTCAGAAATACTGCAGACRTCATGAGTATCTTTTGTAGTCATGGTAATTTCATTAACTTCTTTATTTTCTTGTTCTCTATCCATTTTAATGGATTCTCTGGTTTCTTCACTCATTGCATCACTTGTTTCAACTCCTGATTTCATTTCTGTCACTTTAATTTTTGGAGATGAAGTTGKTTTCTTTGAACTCAGACCTCCTGTTGTGTGATCTACCAAATCCAGTGGGATTTCGCCTTCTTGGTTTTTTGATAGCTTAGAATTTAATTTCCTTTCTTCATACATCATCTCTTCTTCTGAAATTGAATGTGTAACATCCATGGAGTYTACATGTTTTCCTGCCAGAGAAGATTGTACAAAGCCCTTGTCAACTGTATCTGTATTTGTACTGTTGAATTCCTTATTTTCATGTAGTACTTTATCTTCTTTATGCAGCCTTAACTCATTAGATTCACAAACAAAAGAGTCATTACTTTCAAATTCTTCATATTTCAGTACACCTATAGTCTCTTTCTGTTTACCAAAGTCTTCAGATGAAGATAGGTCATGTGATGACATCACATCTGAGGAAAAGTCTGCAGTGTCTTTGATCGAATGGTCAATTTTTTTCAGAGAGGCAGCAAACAGAGATGCCCTTCTCTTTAGTCTTGATTCTGCTGTACCTGGGGTTTTTCTTAAACTGCTTGTTTTCTGAGCTGAAGTATGACTGATTCTGAATAAAATAATTTTAGAAAGAGAATGACAACCTCACATTTTGACACGTTTCGGTGATCAATCTCCTTCCTTGGTGATGTCAAAATTTATGGCTGTTGTTCTTTTTCTCATATTATCACAGATTCTACTGCTATGTCCTTTTATAAATTTATATTTAAATCAAATTATTAATATTAGAAACACTTTGATTCACAGAATTATAAAATACCATTCAAAATATAAAGCACCACCACAATAAAAGGAAAAAAAAGGATTTTTTATACTGTAAAAGTGTCCAGCTAATACACATTCAAAAGACATGCTGTAGTTTCACAAACCTTGGAGTTTTAATGGCGCTTGATATGGAAACAGAATTMAAACCAATTTCATCTATTTCATTGTCTTTAGTTTGGTTGTAAGTAACATTTTCTACCTCTGGTTTTGTTTTAGTGGGTGAAGTAGTCTATRAAGCAAAAGAAACCAAGTAAAATAAAAGAAGGAACGAAAAGTGGAGAAGGTTAGGAAGGAATCAAAGAAATGCATGAAAGAAAGAGAAGGAAAATGAGAAAAAGAAGACAAATGAAATGAAAGAACAAGGAAGAAATTAAAGAAAAAAAAAACAAAATAAGGAAGCAAGCAATTGATGTTAAGATTRRGGATCAATAAACAAACAAGAAAGAAAAGRAAAGCTGGGAAAMRRAAGGMRACAAGCAWTCATGACAGCMATATTATCATGAAGGCTTCAGTGTRATTGAACTTRTACCTTAGGTTTAASTCTCTGCCCATGACACAGACGAACAGGTTTRATGTTTTCCCATCCTTTCAGTCTTACTGAGGCAAGCGGCTGCTTGTGTTCAAATTTTTTATTCAATTTTTTACCAAAGACTCCATCATCATCATCCTAAGATCAAATAAAACATGCRAATCGTGRTGGGTTAATGTACAGAGTGAATGAAGAATATTTAAAAGTAATCCTTCTAAAAGTTTTGATGGATGGCCATCAAAAATCTTATGTTATAAATCARCACTTACTTCATCTGACTTCTTCTTCTCCTTAATATTTGCCTCTTTTAAGTGTTTGTATTTAATATAGGTATCTTCCAAGTAAAATAAATATAAGTTATACTTTGAAAAATATACAAAATAAGACGAACAAGTAAGTTAAATCGACAGTCATCAGCTTAATTCCGACAATACAGTTTGACAACAAAGCTCGGTAAGTCACTATTACCCATCAATCCTGCTTTGCTTACCTCGTATCTCGTCAGACGAATTCTTGATGTCATCCTAACAAGTAAAAACCAGTCAACTTAACTTAAATACGCTGGAATTAAGTATAAACAACATTGTCACACCAAAGTCTTACAACGAACCTTGTTCGGACGTCTTCCATGTTTTCTTTCAAACATGCTTTCCCAACACTTAAGCTCACGTTTGATAGCGTTAAGCTCCTCCATATCACCAAAAASATGTACAAATTAGATTACCTAGCGTGATTCTATCAGTAGAAATCTA